GCAACTGTGTGCATCCTTTTTGTGTTCTTCTAGCAATTTGAAGAATAGTCTTGTATGGGTTTCCTAGGGCCATTTTGTTACTCTGGTTTACTTATTGCTTTTGTTCATGTAATGACAGGACAAGGGGGAATGGTTTCAAACTGAGAGTAAGTTTAGGTTAGATATTAGGAAAAAAATCTTTACTGTGAGGGTGGTGAGGCACTGGAACAGGTTGCCCAGAGAGGTTGCGGATGCCCCATCCCTGGAAGTGTTCAAGGCCAGGTTGGATGGGGCTCTGAGCAACCTGGTCTAGTGGAAGGTGTCCCCACCTATGGCAGGGGGGTGGAACTAGATGATCTTTAAGGTCCTTTCCAATCCAAACCATTCAATGACTCTATGAATTTTAGAGGTATTCTAGCAAGACACTGGGTTATCTGATTAGACATGCAGCCGTTGTACAGTTTGTCCAGATTTTATTGTGTGAGGTCCCTTTCTGGCTGAGTGAGAAGGCTAAATCTAGAAATCCTCTGCTCACAGTTCCAGGCTTTTTAAATGCATGTTGGCTCTTACTGTACAGTATTTAAGAATAATTTCTGAGCACACATTGTACAAATTAATGAGCAAATTGCAAAAGCATATGTTAGAGAGCTGGTTATGATAACAGCAGACAGATCTTGGTCATAACAGATGATGTTTTAAACTCTATCTATCTGTCTATCTATCTGTCTATCTATCTGTCTGTCTATCTATCTATCTATCTATCTATCTATTTATTTATATACGAGGGATAAACTACTGCATCCATCTTACGGACCTCACTGAAAATTAATTACAGCCATTTCAGCTGCACTTCTGCTAACTCCAAGAGCTCAAACCCACAGAATAGGATAAGATCTTGAGGTGGATGTGTGTCATGCAGAGATAGAGGTTGTGAAACTTGATTTTCATTTCAATGACTCAATTACTTGCCAGTGAAGGTGTCACTTGCTTTGGCTCTGATGTATATTGTTAGTGTTAACATACTGTCTCCGCCTCAAGGAAGTCCTAAGGAGACAAATAACCCTGAAGCCATTCCAGGATCTGCCTTGAGAACTGTTTTGGTTCAAACCAGAACTACTCAGGTAATGTCAGTAATACAAGCATGGCTGATTTAGTGAAGCAGCAACATGGTAAAGCCAAGAAAGTGGGGCTTTGAACCTGCTTAGTCACAGCAGAAATCAACAAAGCTATATAGCTTCTTTGCGCTGAAGGCAAAAAGGATAAGTTCCCAACAACTATTCTCAGGAGGCATGGAAAGGAGTCACAGAAAATACAGAAGAGAAGCATTCTGTAAAGAAATCCACAGCGATTTTGGGTGGGCCAGGAGGAGAAAGGTGCTCTGAGCATGCATTCCTGGCTAAGTGTTGCAGTGACAGTCTCCTAACTGCCAAGAACTCCTCTGCTTAAGCAGCAGTTGCATTTGGAAGTGTGAAGAAGTGATTTTGATGTAGAACTTAAGAAATATTTTCTAGCTTTTTCAAAAATAAAAATTAAACATTGATTTTTATTTTAAACCAGATTCCAAATACTGTCTGTTAACTGGTATATTCATGTTTCTCACTTACTTAAAATGTCAATTTGAGATCAGTTGTTCTATCCAGTATAAATTTGCTTTAAGTGCAGATCGATACACCTGATCAAATATGAACTATGAGCTCCCTCTCTTTTCTGTGGAAATGCCAAGCAGTATAATTGAAAAAATCTCAGTACACGAGAACCTGTTCCAGGTTACTGTGATGTGTACTAAATGGGTCTGACATGCCTTTGCAGGAGTAACACTAAAAGCGCTGTTATGAGTACAATGTGATGTGTGTGTCCTTATGTTTCTGTTGCTACCCTGTTGTCCCAAAGAAGACAGAGTTTTGTACAAGAGGGCATTAAGGGGTGAGATCTAGTAGGATATGTAGCTACTCAGTGTTGATTTGGACTTTGGACTTCGGTGACCAGAAAATCAACCACCCCAAGATTTAGGATTTTCTGGAATAAGGATCTTGGTGGCCACAACCCCTGCTGGTGTGCTAAAATAGGTGTGTTCAGACTGTAGGATACTCAGAACTGGTGTGTATTTTCAATGATTTGTAGCTTATGGTGCTGCAGTAAGCTGTAGCAAGATTTAACTAAGTATAAATAGTCTCTCTGACAAAAATTAGTGTTTCTTTCTTGCCTTCCACATTAACCCATATTAAACTATAAGTCAAAAGAGTCCTGTGCAGAACCTCGGTGGAATTACCAAACAGCCTTTGAATTAACTACTGTGACATAGTCACCACTTACAACATCGCTGATCGCTGTGTGGGGAGAGGAGCCGTACCTTTCAGGGCCAACTGGAACAACGCACTGTGCTGTTCTGAAGTTCAGCCAGGCCAGTTACTCTTGGATACTGAAGGACACAGACCCCTGTCTGGCTTCTTGGTGTTGACTGATTTCTGAAAAATGCAGTCTCGCTAGCAGCCTAGGCACCAGTCCAGAGGTCTGAGACCTGAAACATGCCTCAGAGGCCTGCAGTTGGTAGCAATGACAGGCTTTTCCCAGTTATGTGTTTACTCGGTGCTTAGGTACACTCAGACAGTCGACTGAGTAATTGACATAACAGGTTAGGTTGTAAAACTCACTTGGGAAAACAGCTCTACGGTGGAAAAAGAAATTTGCAAATTACTGCTTTCTAACTGGACTCTTACTAATGTTTCATGATCAATTCATTCACATCGCTCTTAGTAAACTCTAGGAAACATCCTCTGCTCTGCGAAAAATGCATACTTTGCTCCTGAGTCACAATTTGTCAGCGCTGACAGCTGCGTGCGTTCTTTTGGAAGTGTATTTTCAGTTCGTAGTGATTAGTTTCTCTAAAATGAGTGCCAGAGAGTACTTTAGGGGGGTTACTTTAAAAGTGTGGTCATGACAGATATGGGATATCAGAATTATGGATATAGACATGTGCACCACATTCTACAAATGACTGTTTTTTCTTCAACGCTTACCAAGCATTCTATACATCCAATATATAAGTCATTACACTTCCTTGAGACTACTGATTTCTGGCATGCTCCCTGTTCTCTTGCTACATGATAGAGAGCTTTCCTGATCGTTGCTAGCTACTGGGAGACACTTCTTTCTCTCAACCCTCCTGGGTCATCAACTATCAAACTTTGTGCAGCTTCATTTGAAGCACTGCAAAGTATTGGGCAGATAAACTCTTAGAAAACTCTATCATCTTTGTTCTTAAGATTGCTATGGACTATGAAATTTCCCCAATTTAGCCAGTCACCTTAACACCCCTTGACTCAAAAACAGTGAAGGCAAAAGCAGATAAAAACAATTTTGCACAGCTAAAATACAGTTTGCAATGGCTTACAATCACACACAACAGGAATAGAAATTTCCCTGTCCAGCTTAAAAAGGGTTTTCTCCCCATTTATATTATCAGATAAGCTGGTAAACATTTCACAGCTTTCCTCTCTGAGAGGTCCATGGCTCAAGCCAGCTCTTCATCTTGGTACTGACAACATGGAAGAAGTCAGTATGAGAATCCCTTATTATTTCCTTTAATTAGTGTTAATGAAACCAAGAAGGAATGAAACTAACCCTTCCATCCCAAAAAATCCCAAGCTTCCCACTTGGAAAAGGGTAATGGTTCTGTAAGTCTGGATTGGACATCTCGTCTACCATTTAATAAGTAAAACATGTCTTCCCACATTTTTCCAAATCCTTAATCAAGCTGACAATTTGGAAATTTTTCAAACCTCAAATGAAGCTTATTCTTACATTTCATTTTTATAATTCCTATTAAAATGCATGTCTACTTCAACTGGAATACAAATAAAATTAATGAATGTGGATCTTGAATAAAAGCAGAGATGGGGATAAGCAATTACTGAATAGCCTATAGTCATCTCTTTGAGAAGTGACTAAAAGTAAGCTTACGGGAATCAAAGTGAAAGAAGTGAAGACAAGCAAAGGGCAAAAAGGCTCTGAATTTAAAACTGTGGACAAGGAAACAATTCCAGGGAAACTTCTCCCTGGAAAATTTGCATTTCTATTGCTGAATAAGTTTAGTTTTACCATCAGACTGAACAGTGAGAACTGTATAGAGTTTCTACATAAACCTGAAGGAACTATTGTTTGAATCAAAAAAGTGGTACCCTGGCATAAGGGAAGGGATAGCTGATCAAACCAGGAAAAAAGTAAACACTTAGAATCATAGAACCACGGTTTAGCTTGGAAGAGGTCTTAAAGATTATTGCTACTTCCAAATGGAGCTTATGTGATGGCGAGCAAACAGAGCTCTGCTCCAAAAAGACACTGAGCAACTTCAGGTGCTGGAATATAGGAATGGTGTCAGCAGGCACTGACATTGCCTGTTCTGGTAAATACCAGACAGAAGTGAGTCCCTGCACTCAACTTGTGAATGGGGTGATGGATTTGTCAAGGACTGGTTTCACTTGTGCGACAATTTCCTGGAGCAGACAGAGTTAAGTCGGTCATGCCCTGGATGCACTGCGGTGGACGGGTAGATCTGTTTCTTTGAAGACATGAAATGTCTGCTCCTATCGGGTTGCCAAATGGGCATTAGCTCCACTCCGCGGCAAAGCGCATCGCTGAGCTGGCCAAAGGGCTCTCATGCTTTCCTAGGTCAGCTCGGTCAAGGCTTTCCATGAGTCCCGAGGGCAGCCTAAAGGAAAACTGGTGTCCACATTGCGCTGAAGTCAGCTTGGCCGCCCCGGGGTCACAGCCTGAAGGGGAACTAAATCCAGGCTTGAGAGCTAAAGGATGTGGGTTGATGCCAGGGAAAAGGGGGCTATCATGAGGATCCAGCTCGCCCTGTGCCCGGTGCTTCACGTCCCCGGGGTTCAGCGGCAATGCCGGGACTCCCAGGGCCGCTCAGCCCACGCCGGCTCGGGCAGCGGGCGGTGCAGGCGACGAGGCGGGCCGGGGGCGGCTCGGGGCGGGGCGAGGCGGCAGCCGCGGCTCCCCGGGCGAGGCGGAGTGTGCTTCCAGCCCGCCCGCCCGCTATGTGGAGCGGACCGGGGCGGCCGGGTGGACGCGGGGAGCAGCCGGAGGTGAGGAGGGGCGGTGGGCGCCGTGGGGGCAGCGCCTCGCCCCCAGCCGAGGCTCGGCTTCGGCGTGACGGGGAGGGCAGCGGGGTGTGGGCTGCGGCGGGGCCCGGAGGCGGCTGGGCTCTCCTTTCCCCGCTTGTGTCCCGTCGCGTCGTGGCCCATTTGCCGTCCTTTGGCACCGTGGGGAGCGGGCGGCGGCGGGAGGGTCCCCCCGGGCCGGCGCCCCCAGGGCGGTCGGGGGTCCGCGGGCAGCGGGGAGCGGCTCCTCGGCAGGTTTAGGCTGCAGTGATGGCTTCCAAAAAAACCAACCCCGGCCCCTGGGTTTGTGTTACTTTTAGCCGTGTTTTGAGGCCGTGCGTGTTGCTGCGAGGTGTGTTGACACAGTCTCCCTACCTCTATTTGTGGCTGCTGCTGTCCCATCTTTCACGGCACTAAATAGCGTCCTTAGAAGTAACTTTTTTATTTTGCCTTTGTGTCTGCTCCCTCGTTGTGTGTCTAATTGTACAAGCCCAGGTACGAGTGCAGTGTATAAATAAAGGCTGTAGGAGTGCTAACGCTGCCACATTTTTTAAAGTACTTGTAACAGGAAGCGGGATAATGTTTGGCGTAAATCTTCTTGACCTAGTAAACGTGGCAGAAACTATTTCTGTATTTATTTATTGCATAAGGATGACCAGGAAAGGCTCCTTTTTTTAACTGTTCATATGACAAGAGCGAGGTTTTGGATGATGCCTGCAGAAATACCTGTATCAAACCCAGCAAGGAGCTGCTGCTCTAACAATCCCAGACCTGTTCTGGCCGCTTCCTAGATAGCTCTTGGCAGCAGCCTGGAGAGCCATAGCTTGGTAGGAGTGAGCTATCCGTTAAAAACTACTAAGCTGAATCAAGGTTCTGGTTTGTTTCCAGCAGCAGCTCTTAAGTTTGGAGAGTTTCTTCAGGGACTCAAGCAAGCTGCTGGATGTGTTTTGTTTTTCTTCTTTAGAAATTCAGCATCGTGCTCTCATTTGACTTGGACGATTTGTATGTGCTTGGATCCTCAAAAAACAGGCTAAAAGGTCATGAACAAAAGTTATTTTAGAATGCAGAATCTTTAATTGAGATATTTTAATTCACATGTTTTAAATTAATCCTTAAATGAGAAATATATGTTACTTTTTTTGTAAAAAATATTACTGATTTCCTCTCTCCCTCTGAGAATAATACTTTTTTTTTGTTAACACTTTACATCACTATTTTTGATACATACAGTTTTACCTGCATGAGCCATTCAGGTCCTTTTACATGCTTCTTAACAGTACTTTGAAATGATAATGGAAAATGAATCACTTACTTTGGATTTAAATAAAAAATGGGTGACATTAAAATTCTTATTACTTTACAATGACAGGTATCAGGAGTTGAAATGACATAGAAAAGTCTTCAAAGAACAGACTGTGAAATTAACTCCTTCCACTTGATACTGAAAGAAGGTACTGGTTTTAATTTATTTGAATATTGATAAGATCTGCTCCTTTCAAGGTGGTTTGGATGCTGTCATTGCCTCCAGTTTGACGTGGAAGAAGATGGATAGGTAGCACTTCACTGTATTAGGGTCAACCAGTAGTGGCCAGTTATGTACAGCTACAGATAGTATTTTTGTTTCCTTCCTCCTGTTCATTGGTGAAAGTTGGGGCAGTACCTGAATTTGAAGAAATACACTTTCTTCAAATTCAGATTTAGAATAGTTAGTACTTATCTCAAGGCTGAACTGGAATTTAGCTTGCAAAGACTGAACTGTTGCAGGCTTCTTTGTGAACATTGTTTGACTGTGTTTTGATGTAGCTTCAACATAATGCCCTGGATAATAGGTTTTCCTTAAAGGTACAACTTTTCTGTAGTTCTGCAACTTGTTGGGAAGGGAGACATTTGAGGTCCAAAGTTACTGGTCATCACATCAGTGTCAGAATACCCCAGTGGATAACCAACTTGACTGGTCTGATAACTGTGATATTTATAATTGATCACAGTCAGTTATAGATTCTGTGAGCTTCTTGAGAGTGCTTGTGCATCATGTTGTGTGACACGGTGTTTGTACATGCCCCTGTAAAATGATCAACTGCATTCTGTTTATATATTGAGTATGTTAGACAGGAAATTTATGATCTCAGGAAAGTGGTAGACTTGAAACAAGTCTGTTAGAAATTTTAGCACGCTTTGCTGTCATGCTTTAACTGTTTTTGGTAACTTCAGCCACAAACGTTACAAGTGGTGTGGGATTTTGTTTCTTGTTGGCTTTTTTCCCCTTTATTTCTTAAAAGATTTCATGTGCATTTTTCCTTCGAGGCCAGTAAGCTTTGAACTGAAAACAGTTTTCCAGACTATGTAGACAGTGTCATCAGTGAAACTGGAATTCTCTATACATGGAATTTTTGAGCTTCTGTCGTTGTATCCTGGGGACATTTCATAGTGCTGAGACTGGGATAGGAGGCACTACCAGGCTAAAGTTGTTGAGTATGTGATCAAACATCTGCTTTCTAAGCAAAGTTTGTTGTTTCACATTTGTGGATTTTGGGTAGTGTTTCTCTTTGTATTTCGTTTAAGAAAAAATGTAGAACCCTTGTGTGGTCACTTGAAACCTTACTGACCAGGATAAATATGCTCTGCATACTGTGAGGCATTGCAACTGCAAAGTTAGAGGCTTCTTCCTGTCTTTATAGAAGTTTTAAGCTTTACTGCTGCAATAAAAGTTGTGCTTTAGCATACAGTATTGGAAAGACATCTACTCTTGGTACTGGAGGCAAATAATGAGTGCAAAATATAAAGCTTAACTTGTTGAATTGGTTAGTTGTTATTATTTTGCCCAATGTTTAAGTATTTGTTTCTTTTTAGTAGTTAAATTAGTTTTATGAAGTTGCTTGCCACCTGTGTAATATTATGTTGTTTTTGACAGAAACTTCATTATCCAAAGATCTTTGCTAGAATTCTTGGTTGATCTCTACTGCAAGTTTTGTTGTTGCTCTATTAAGTCATCTCTCTAGTGTAGGGAGAGGGATGCTCTTGCTTTTATATTTTGGATGTCTGTAGAAAATTTGGTTTTGGATGTGTATGCTGCTGTCCAAATGATGGGTTTTGTAAACTCCTTTTCCCCCCTTCTCTGCTTTTTACAGATAAACTGAAACTTTAAGAATGACGATCTGCTCATTGGCAAGTTACAGGAAAAGCACATATAAGGCAACTGAATAAAGTCTGTGGTATGAGGGCTTTGTCAGATAAACTGTCCAAAAGAAGTACGTACTCAGAGGCTGTTATGTTAAAGTGTTGAACTCTGCTTTTTGTGTCCCTCCCTACTACCCCAACACTTCTACATGTGAAATGTTTCAGAAGAAGGAGCTGGTGTGGCTTATTTGTCACTGAACTACATTGGATATAAAAGTAAGTCAAGGCTGACTTTTTCAGGGAATATCTTCTTTTCTTCCTGCCATTTCTAGCTGGGTAGAAAGCAATATTAACTAGGACCTTTGCAATGAATGTTTTTCAATGGACTGCTTCAATTGAAACCAGTTTGCTTTAGAGTGAGAGGCAGCAGCACACAAAATAGTCAGAAGCTGAGGAAAGACATGACAGCTAAATGCAGATCTTAAGTTACAAGGAGCTGTCAGAAGAAAAAGTATTTAAGTGTTTCCCAGCTGGCTGACAGTAGAAGGCTTGGGGAGATCTCTGATGACACCTTGCCAAAAAAATGCAGGTGCATCTGAGAGGGGAGTAGGACTTGGTTAAGGTTTAGAGGTTTCATAGAAGCCACTTGCAGGCCATGAGGGCAGTGTGTGTCTGTTTAATCATGTCTTAGTTGGAGAAAACTGAAAACAAGACCTGAGGTGTGAAGTGAAACTACAGTTATGGACACTTTTCTTTTGTGTCTGACCACAGCAATTCATATTACTTGCGGTTTTTACACATTCGACTTTAGATGCCACTTTAAGTGCCAGGTCACACTAAAGTTAGTGTGCTTATAAAGAATTGTAGGTTATCTGCTCTTAAAAGCAGTGATGCCTCAGTCATACAAAAACAGTTCAAAGAATGAAACCTCATACATCTCTGTGATTGTGTCACTTGTAAGCATGTGGAAAGACAATCAAGCTTGGTTTTTAAATTATGTGGTATAGCTGAAATCACTATGCTAGCATAATTGTTCTGTGCTTCAGGGTTGTGTGGGGTTTTTTTAGTTAACTATGCTGGCAAAAGATAATTATATTTTATGCAAGAATTATTCCAGTAGAATAGTTCTAGTTCAGGAAAAGTTCTAGTAGAAAGCTGAAGACGGAGCAGCTTACCAAATCCATTTTTTCCCTCTGCAAGATGACTAATGCTTCTTCTGATTTTTGTTTTTTTAGAAGTAATGCAGGGTGCAGAGGACAGTGCAGCTTGAACAGTCTTAACCCAGCATTTGAAAAAGCTTCTGTTTTGCAGCAAAATATGACACCTGTAGTTTTGCTCATTGGTCATCTCATTCTACTGATACCTCTGTTCAGTGCTGGTAGGTTACATACTTCATTGAAATTACTATTTTAAAAAAGAAAATCTGCAAGAGATAAGTTGTGTATATTTAGTAGGAAAGAGATATCAAGAGCAAGTAGTGGATCTGGGGTTTGTTTTTGCTTCAGCGTATTAAAAATAGCTGAGTGCCTCTTCTGGGATTGAAATTGCATGAGAGATGGCATGGACAAATAGACATAAAAGTTTTTAAATCTAGCCACATAAACTTAGGGTACTGAGGCTTTGATTAGCCTTTCCCTGTTTCTTGTGAAGAAGTCCAAAATGATTGGCTTCCTTGACTTTGTTAGCTGTTGAATGCCTTAAGAAACATGCTGTATCTCTAGTCCTGAAAGCAGTAGGGCTGAGTTTCCTTTACAGTTAATTAGTAATATTTTTAAGATAGGCCTATTTTTTCAGTAAAGTTCAGAACTACATAAATTAATGATGCTTGTCTTGCTACTCTTGGCATAAGCAGTTTAATATTAATGTCTCTGAATTAGTTTAAGCTACATAGAGACCTACTTGGAAATCTTTAAATTAGGTGGTAGTAAGATAGTGATACTGAAAGGATTACTGAAGACTTTTTTTTATTTTGAAATGGAATCTGTTGACTTTGTATTTATACAGTCATTCAGCAGGTTTTTAAAATCAGTTCAGCCAGATGTTTTGCAGTTTCATAGGAATTCCGTGTTGCATACAGAATCACAGAATGGTTTGGATTGGAAGGGTCCTTAAAGATCATCCGGTTCAACCCCCCTGCCATGGGCAGAGACACCTTTCACTAGACCAGTTTGCTCAAAGCCCCATCCAACCTGGCCTTGAATACTTCCAAGGATGAGGCATCTGCTTCTCTGGGCAAATGTATGCAGAAGTTAGAAAGTTTTACAATCTACTTTATAGCCCAGTGGCTAGCTCTGTGTTAAAATGGTATTCTCCAGTAAGTTTTTGCTTGCAGATTTGGGTTCTTGATAACTTTTTGCAGTATCTGTCCTACTTTCTCTGATATTTTTTGGCTGATGTTTAAAGAAACGCTTGCTAGGCTGCATTATTGTGCCATGTCAACTTGTTACAGACATAATTATAAAAATTCTGTTTATGCTGACCTTTTATACGATGTTCAGAATAATGGGCCTTCTGGATAAAGGTGCAAATATAGTAAGGAAACAATACGTTATGGTCAAGACTTCTTAATCTAAATACTGTGCCTTTCCAGATTTTTTTTGTATTGTAACATATTGGTTTACAGACTTCTTGGATGTGTTGAGGTCTTGATATCATTCCATACTGTCTTTGGCTTCAGGTTAAGAAACACCTGTTTTTTTAACCCCCGATTTGTTTTTGGCCCCACAGTCGTCATGGCCAGAGTAGTGTCAGGAGCTTTACTCTGCTACTGTTTGCACTATGCTTTACATAGGTAGTATTCACATTAAGAATCTGGAAATTCTGCAAAAGTACTAACATGCTCAAATAACAAGGACACGACAGGTGAGTTGGGAAACTTGGAGTTGCCTGGTGAATCCCATGGATCTAATACTCTGGTTTGTGCTGAGGGTATTGGGCTTGCATGTGCTTGTTACCAAAATACCTTAACAGAGGGAAGTTGTGGCATAAGCTTGTAAAATGTGTGTTTATGTCTTCAACCAGAAGGTGCTAAACAAACAAAAAATAATAGCCTTGTGATGTTTTAATGGTAAATTTTTACAGAAAGCTTATTTTCTAATTCTGTGTCACTTGGAATGGATATTGATACTTCTAAAACATATAAGTGTAAGGCATTGATAATTTTTTTTTTAGTAGAGGAATGTGTTCTTTGTGATTACTTCGTGCTTGTTGGAGAGCCTACTGCTATTACTTGCCCCATTATTACACTGCCAGTGCTTCACTCTAATTACAATCTGACGTGGTATAAAAGCACTGGTGCTACACCAGTAACTACAGAGACAAATGCCAGGATCCACCAGCGAGAGGGCTTGCTTTGGTTTATTCCTGCAATGCTGGAAGATTCTGGACTTTATGAATGCGGTGTAAGGTAAGAAAGGAAGGATGGAAACAATTGGGTTGTTAATGCTTGCAAGTTTGATAATGTATTTGTGGAACTTGAGCATACAAAACTTTTTTTGTTTTAGGTAGAATGCTTAAACAGTTAAAAAGCACTATTTTGACCATGCTTTATATTTCTGCATGATGCCTTTTTCTTCCACCTATTTAACATTGCAAAAGTGGTTCATACAGAAGACTCTTTATCTTGAAGCAATCTCACTAACAATGTGAGGATTGCTTGTTTGTTTTGGATGAAGCATAAGGTCACAGGAAAACATATTCACTGCTTCAGCTTTTCCTGTGTTCAAATTGCTGTTTGATACTGACCGATCAGAAGAACATTTCGTTTTCTTCATAGAACATGGCTGAATGGAAGAAGGATCTAAGAGGGGGAAACTCTGCATTTTATGCAGTATCACCACACAGATTTTCTGGAGAACTTAGCAACTTTTTGCGAATCTTATTAGAAATTCACAAATTAAAAGGCAGAAAAGCTTTCTTATGATTTATTTTAAAATATTACCAGTTGTTACTGGTCAAAAATGAGAATGCAAATCAAGAGCGAAGCAATGTGCTGGACAGCTTTAGAGACAGTGAAAATGATGTGTCAGTAATACTACTCAAACAATCTGAGCGCACAGAGAAGAAATAAAGGGAATAGATTCTTTGAAAAGAATCTTTATCTAGCCTTTTTTGGTACTTTAAAGCTCTTGCTATGTCTACAGCTCAGATTAGTGCACTGGGCTTAACTACTTCAGGTTGTCAGATCTTTTTTATAATGGTTGAAATTCACTGTGTGCTGAACAGGAAATTAATTTTGGGAAGACAGGCAGAAACTGTTCCTTTCCTCATGGTCTTGCCACAACACACTGAGAACAGCCAATACAGGCTTTTCAGGTGGCCCAGAATTTGTTTTAGTAGTGTGTAGTTATGTGTAGTGGTGTGCATACAGTACACCAGTTATCCTGGAGGGGTTTGGGTTGTGAATGTAGTAACAGTGATCAGCAGAAACTTCCAATTTCGTGGGCCTTTGCATGTTCCTTCTCCAGAGCTGACAAATGAAGCTGAAATTGGAAGTCAGAAGACATGTAATCCTCTCAAAGCTACCCAGTTATATAATTTTAGTCTTTCCTACTGTGCTTCTAGTTGCTTGAGCTATGAAATGTGTTCCTGTGCGCACCTCACATCCCTGGCTTGCATAATGTCAGCAGGACACAGAACTTGCTAATGTTCAGTTGTGTTAACTGTAGGCAGCATTTTGTGCATCAGTCACTTAAACCTTAATTGGAGTTCTGAGAAGTCCTGACATCCCCTCTGGTGCTTCCAGAGCAGACCCCACTTCTGCTCACAACACAAAATCAGAGCTTATTCCCATCTCTTGATCTGGAATGGGGGTGAGGGGCTGAGGATGGTATTTATGAGCTAGGAGGATACAGCAGGGGTGTTAGAGGCAAGGCCGGTGAAGATGCTGAAGTCCCTGTCTGTAAACTGCTTGACTTGCTGGAAAGCGGGAACCTTTCTGTTAATGACCTGACTTGTCTGCTGTTCTGATTACAGGAGCCTTAACCACTCTAACAAAAAAACTATAAATTTAACAGTTTTTAAGAATGATAATGGCTTTTGTTTTAATGGAAAAATGAAGTTTGAACAAAAAGTGATGAGCACAAATACTGGAAAGATTATATGTCCTGATCTAGAACAATTTAAAGATGAAGACAATAATCAGCCTGAAGTACATTGGTATAAGGTATTTTGCATGTGTATTTCATATATACAAGATACAACATGTATTATTTAAAATGTCTTGTGGAGTACCTGGGAAAAGCTGCTTTTGGAAGGGAAGGTTTATTTTCTCTACAGTTTGAGCAAGGCATGAGTGTGAATAAGTTTTGTGAAAATCTGATTCATTTGATTATTTTATGTAGATAATAAGTTTTAAAACTTGTGTGTTTCTGTAAATACAAGGCTTTGGATAATTATTTCTGTTTCTCAGAATATTAGGCATGTCCTATCTGTTGACTGTGCTGTGGTATTCTTACGCTGCTTGCTTTGGTTCTATGAAAATACTCTGTGCAAGCTTAGAAACACGTATTTTGTCTGTGTTAAGGTAAAATTATGAAGTAGTTCAACTCTTAATTCTGATGCTGATATTAAAGCAGCTACATGGGCCATATATGTAAAATAACCTCGGTGCTGCACCTATACATCTTTTGAGATGAAGGGTTTCTCCACTGCTTGTAGGTCAAGGAAGAGAAGGAAGTTTTTTGCTGTATTCACATTGCCACAGAAACCCAGACAACACAAGGCACTGCATCACAGTGAAGCAGGGATGCAGGCATGTATTCTCATAAACTCTGCTACATGCATAACTTCTATTACACCTGAGATGGATAACTGCCATGCTATTAATGGAGGCAGTGAACTAAAGCACAGCATTTGAAAAGTGAAAGGATTGGCTGCAGGGATTTTTTAAAAAGTGCAAATGGAGCAAAATGTCATCAGGCTTCATGTTAGAGTGTAGTGGTGCTTGAATAAGAACCCACATAATGGCTTTCAAAAAAGTCAGTATTTGGCAAGTATTTTAATAATCAGTAGAGTTCAGTAACTTATTCAATTGTCAGGTTTTTAGTTCCCTTAAGTCACAAGTACTTTTGATGTATTTAGGAGTGTAAGTCTGGGTTTCTTGAAGACAAGCGACTTCTTTTGGCAGAGGGTGAAAATGCTGTCTTGATTCGTAACGTAACCGTGCAAGATAGAGGAAACTACACGTGCCGTATGGTGTACACCTACATGGGAAAACAATATAATGTTTCAAGAACCATAAGTCTGGAAGTTAAAGGTGAGTGCATGAGGTTATTCTCTTTTTGGCTCTGCTGTAAATATTTGTATGCAGGCATAAGATACCTGGCATATTACCTTTGAGCTCTGTGAAATTAAGAGTTGCAAATCTTCTTTAATTAGATTATTCCTGAATATAAAATTAAAATACAATGAAGGACGTTGCTATCCTTAAGGATTGCTTTTGGGGAAGAATTGTCGTGGGGAAATGAGTATTGCGGGCTTAGGAATGAGAATTAGAGAAAAGGAGTGGTTACTGGGGTGTGAGGGCATTGTTTTTGCTGAAACAAATAATGGACCACTAAATGAAATACATTTTAAAATGGAGTATTTTTTTCTGAGACTATCACAGCAAACCACCTTCTTGCAGCCCTGCTGGTGAACTTGCTTACAGAGTTCACTAGAATCTTGGTTGATGGGAAAGGAGATGTGACAAGCTGCATAAATACTATAAAGTTAAATCTTGCTGTAGAAAGGATTGGCTTACTGTTGCCACTTAGTTGTGCTTTCCTGCACACAGGATGTGGAACTGGCTGTCTCACTCTCCCAGTAGTGTCATTTATTGCTGTGTTCATTGTGTGTCTTTGTGAGCAGTATTGCTGGTGACCTGACTAGTGACATGGTAGTAGTCCTATCAGAATAGTTGGCTGGAAAGAGCATGTACGTCTTTTTAGATTAAATCAAAATTCTGACTCAGGCAGATGATATAAGAGCAGTGGGTTGTTAGCAGCCAGTCTAAACATGATGCAGAACGATACAATTCCAGCCCAGTTTAAGCATGTGTTTATTTAAACTTTTACTTAAATAAATATTCACCTTATCTAGGAGGTCATTATACAATCCCTCTTTCTCTTCCTTATCCATCTCTCTGAAAAAGTTAATTGCATTTTTTGGTTTTATCTTTTTCTGGTTGTTTTACTGGGAGTTGATATAAAAGTAAATTTGAGAATTTATTTTTTGAGTATTTTTAAGGTAAGCTAAAGCCTTTTGTTAACTTGGGAGCTAAAAGAGAATAATTTGGAGAGAGCACAGCAAATGTCTTATGAGATATTTCTGTTGCAAATTTGAAACTGGTAGTAAGTATGACACTACAGTAGTACCAAACAATAAAACCAAAACTACTGTAAAACTGTCAGTTGAAGTAAGTTGTGGAACTCTTCCTGCCTGAAGTTTTTGATTTTTCTTTGTTTTGATTAGAAAAACCACCACAGATAAAACCAGAGTTTATTTATCCGAAGAACAATACAATTGAAGTAGAACTTGGTAAGTACTGACTATTTAAGAGGTTATTAAGTAAAACAAAGCTCCTGGTCTTTGTGAAATAACCTGTGAACAGTTTCATGGACTTCAGCAAGACTGGGAGATTAACATGTGGATTGAGGATATCTGGAAGACAGATGAGAGATGATAGAACATGATTCCCACAAGTAGTTTGTAGGGGGAAATAACGATGTGCCTAAGATTGGAGTATTTTGACCAGCAGTGTTGTGCGGGATGAATTAATTTATCTGTTTATTTATTTATTTATTTATTTATTGTTATTGTCATCTGTCCTTTCTACCACTTCTCAGTGTCCCTATCTTGAAATATTGCCCCCCTGTTACATGGGGACTAGGTGAGACACTTTACAGGAATTTAAGGAAATTGGTTGGTTTGTTTGTTTTAAAAAGGCATAGCCGTTCAAAAGTAATATTCTCTGTCCAGTACCTTTAATGGGTTACTGGAAGAAAAAAAATAAATCTTTGCTCCTATTAGATGTCTGGCTGTAGTACAGAATATTTAAACACCTGCATGAATGTGGAAACAGCTGTATGATTTTTGAATGAGAAATGGCAGGAGAAGGTTGTGCAGAAACTTAACAGTAAATTTATGAATGCATGAAAATGGAGAGCATGGAACATGCATTTGAGGGTTTTTTTTCCTTTTGAAGAACTGTGCAACACACTAAACCACATCTTTAGAAAAATTCATTATCATGGTGGAAGGACAGGAGGAAAGAGATTGGGGAGCATCTCTGATTTCTGTGCAAACTCTTGTTCAAGTAACTGCTTTGCACGTAAGGTAAAGGTTTATTCCATACTTTTGTTAGAGATTATTCCTTGGTAGAAGCATCTAGATCTGATGTGGTTCTAGGAAGTGAAACACTAAGATCTTTACATACGTGAACTGAGACAGCCCACCTTCTCCTATCAAATCATAACTTCCATGGGTAAAATACAGAAGGAAAGGAATCCAAGAAAGCTGCTTACCTTCCTGTATGTGGAACTCTCTGAGGTACATTGGAAACAAATATGTTTTGCAACTTGATTTGTGTAATACTGAGGCATTCTGTAAGATCTGGACTCTTGGTGGTGGCAAAGGACCTGAGTGACAGGTGAGCTTGCTCTGGGAGTAGAATGTGACAATATTCAGAAACCATCCCAGTGGACAGTGCTGGCCAAAAGACTCTGATGTGGAGTAAAGATATGCATGGTCCCTAAGAATGGGGTTCAGCTCCAGCATGTAATTGTCTGCACGTGGGTATCTGCATATGATCTAGCGTCCTTACCCCGTGCCATTATCAACGGGGGCTCAACTCAGTTGCCTACACATGGAGTGCTGTTTTGAGCAGTCTGGCTACTCTAGCAGTGCAGATTTCTTTAAGATCTGGAGTCCTGTCTGACAACTCCATATAGATACCTTGGATGTTGCCACAGTGTGTACATGCAACTGATTTGAGCCCTGGAGATCTTTCAGTGGAATTGGGAGAGCCATTCAGTTAAGGTATCTACTTCAGTGCGTGGACTTCAGCAGAGCTGAACTGTGTTACTAGCTTAGACATCTAGCTTACATGTAGATGTGAACATTTAGACACCTGCATTTAGGGTGGAATTTATATCCAGGTCGTAGGCACCCAAACTTGGATTACAAATTGGATGAGTTTTAGGCCTCTGGTTTTCTTAAGGTATTTATTTTTTTATATCCCTCCTGTTCCCGACTGTTCCTTCATCACTTGATCCTGCTTCTGTTACAAGACCTTCAGTTCCTATGTTTAAATGTTTTTTTTGTAGGCTCTCATGTAGTTATGGAATGTAATATATCAAGTGGCATAAATGGCTTAATTCCATTCTGGCAAGTTAATGATGAGGATGTTGATATCTTTGATAAAACCTACAGGGAACAGTTTTATGAGTAAGTATCCTTATACATTGAATTATAAGTGCATTTGCAAAGCTGACCTCCAGTCAAATGTCAGTAGTCATTGAAAGACTGATTAGAAGTCTGCATCAAACACAGTATATTCTTTTTGCTTGGTTTTTAAAAAATGACATTGACATTTAATTATAAATACTGATGTATTTGATACAAATGTAATGAAGCAATCATATGTAGATTTTTATAATCCTGTTGTGAAATATAATTTTGTAATATAATTAATATAATACTTGCTTATGCATTTGTTTTTAGGTGATTTTTTTTTGATAATAGATTAAAGCCCTTTATCCTTAATATGGAAAGGATAGATTGTTCCAAAACAAAAAAAATCACCAAACCTAGTTTTATTTGTGAAGTTGGTTCTTTTCTGAGTACAGACACAGTTGCTAATCCTCAAGAACACAAAGCAGAAGCTCCTGTTGCGGGACATTTAGGTTTGGATTTTTTATGTTCAGGAAAATAAAATTAAGCTGGTAAAAGCAGCAATTCTTTAGGGAGAGCAGGACTTTTCACTCAGTAACTGGTCTATGCTGTAACAAAATGTGGATGTACTCTTTTCCTTCTCATTGTATCAATCACTGCTGTTAAACATAACCCTTAAAATCTAGTGCGAAGAAGAAAAAAAATCTCAGCTGACTAGTTCACATTCATGCAGAAGCATTGTCTTCTCCACCAAGTGCTGTCACCAGTGCAGATTATGGCCAGAGAGTTAGGCAGCAGACTGCTTTTAAAATTACCTACTTCATTCGTCTGTATCTGGCCTCTACTTTGTCCTCAGGTTCTTTAAGGGGGAATTACTACTTTCGTTATAGATCTGTATACTTCTTGTTTGTCTATAAATGCCAAGGCCCCAGCTTATGGTCTCTAAGGCACATCTAAGTCCATTATTCTTCAGGACATGAAATTTCTTATCTTCACCAGTGTAGCTGTGTGTAACTGTTTATAGTGGTAGTATCTTCAGCTTCTTCTGAAACCTTATTCTGCTCTTAAACACATCTTCCTGGAAAGCATTTAATATATTTAAGTTAAAGCACTTCTCTCTTAAGATTTGTGGCTTGCTTGGAAGTGATCTCCATTTCTAATCACTACCCTGCTAGATAATTTTCCCATGGCAGAGATGGAGATGTGCAAAATACATCCTGGACAAGTTCAAAGCAAGTTATCCAATATCAGAAAAATTAATTGCAATATTAATGTTTTATTCCATAAAATAGTAGCACTTCCTCAGCAGTTAAATTTGTGAAGCATTCTCTGTAGCAACCTACACTGTAGCCATGGCCAACAAAATAGACTTGAGACTTACACCTAGGAGGTAGCTCCTGTGCTGGGATGAAAGTTAAAACTGACTCGAACAAATCCAAACGTGTTGCAAAATGATGACGTTTGTATTGGCATCCCATGACAGAATTTGCTGGCAATTATTTATGTAATAGAAACTGTTTCTTCACGGTGTCCTGCAAAATGAGTTCTCTTCCTTGAGTACATCAGGTAGTAATATTACTTTGATATGTAGAGTAGAATGCCAGTTTGTATGTACCTTCCCGGCCTCTCTCACCTTATTCTTGTTAATCTATCTTAGAGCAGGATGGTTTTAACAGGATATCATACTGAATCTCCAAGCTTTTTGTGGCAATGGCTGTCAGACATAAAGGTATTATTGCCATGTTTGTTGTCATTTCACACAAGGGTGAATTTTGTTCATCACAATTTTCCAAGGTGGTTGTCACCATTGACTGTGAGCAATGTGGGCTTTGGGAGTCTCTTAAAGTGCTTAGAAAGGTCTCTGCTTCATCATCTGTGTAAAAAATCCTAGAAGGTGATTTATCTCTTGTCACTTTTATTACTAGGTATTACTGGTTTATATAGTCTTTCATTCACAGAATCATTCAGGTTGGAAGGGACCTGTTGAGATTGTCTAGTCCAACTCCCTTGCCTGGGCAGGGCCAGACAGAACAGGGTGCTCAGGGACATGTCCAGTTGATTTTGAATATCTCCACAGGTGGAGAGTTCACAACTCTGGGAAACCTGTTCCCGTGCTTGACTATCCTGATAGTAAAAAAGTGTTCAGATGGAATTTGATATGGAAAAGTGTTTCAATTTATGCTCATTGCCTCTTGTCCTGTCAGTGGGCACTACTGAAAGGAGCCTGGCTCCCTCTTATCCACTCCTCCCTCCCACTGAGTATTTACGCACATTGATGAGATCCACCCCCTGCCCATGAGCCTTCTCTTTTCTAGGCTGAGCAGTCCCTGCTCTCTCATATGACTGATACTCCAATTTCTTAACATTTGCACTTCCCTGCACAGGACTTGCTCCATCAAATCCATACATCTTATACTGGGGAGCCCAGAACTGGCCTCACTGCTCCACGTGTGACCTCTCCAATGAGGAACAGAGGGGAAGGATCGTTTCCCTTAACCTGCTGGCAGTGTTTTTCTTAGTGCAGTCCAGGATGCCTGGGGTCTGGTTATCCCTCCTCAGATGCAGGATTTGCATTTTACTTTGAACTTCGTGAGGTGTTCTGTCAGCCCATTTCTTCAGCCTCAAGGTTCCTCAAGATGGCAGCTCTTGTATCAGCATCCCTTTGAGTTTTGTATCACCTGCAAAACTGCTAGTGGTGCACTCTGTCCAACTTAGCAAAAAAAAAACCAAAACAAAACCCCCAGAACCCCAAACCAACCAAGAACCCAAGATCTTCTCTGTTCATGAAGCTGTTTGTTAAAGAAATCTGTTTACTGTGCTTCACTGGCTTCTGAGGTTTATAAAGTTAAAAAAATGAATGTTCTTGTATTAATGGATAGATGAATCTGTCCCATATTAAGTACAGATACTTAGTTTCCATGCAGATGTTTCTTTTTTACCCCTTTTTAATGACAGAGAGGGGTTGCCTCATGGACTTGCAGTATCTGGAACAAAATTTAACATTTCAAAAGTGAAAACAAAGGATTATGCTCACAAATTTTTCTGTCACTTCATATATGGTTCTCAGCAATTTACAGCCTACATCAAATTGGAACGCCCAGGTAAGAGATCTCTTCTTAATAAAATGGTGACCAGTATACTTACTTCTCAGTTGGTTTGACAACACCCTACTTAGAGCTAAAGCTGTGTGATAAAGGGGGCAGTGCAGCTCAGTACCTTTTGTGAATTTTTTGCCATATTCTTAGCAAAATAAAAGAAAATACCACTTTGATTTGCTTTATCCTCTCACATTCAGTACTTTAGAAAACAATAATGAAAGACTCCAATTTATTTGAAGCAAGTAGGAGACTTTGGTGGAATACTTTGCTTCATTTGACATACTTGTACCTAAAGAAGCATGTGGATCAGAGGATATTGTGTGTCTAGAAGAGCAGTGGAAACGGTCACTTCTTTAAAAGAGCTGGGTAGAAGACATAGCTTAGTATGGAACAGACTGTCAAAAGAGCATGAGTGTGTATGTGGACCTGGTTGTTCTATTCTACAGTAACAAATAATGGGGTGAGATTGCTAGGAGAAAGAAAAAGAATCTGTATGGTAGGAAAAAAAAATGTAACAATGGTAGTAATAAAGAAATGAAATAGATTGCTTGGAAACGTTATGGACTTTTCGTTACTGACTAGTTGGTCTGGGGAGAATAGCGTGGTCAGAAAAACACCTTCCCACCTCTGACTTCCTTGCTTTCTGACAGATAAAATTTTGTACAAGAATTCTCACTCTACTGCTGTGCTGGGATATAAATCAGTATTTTATTTTGGTGTTTATTTTGGTGTTTGGTGAAAAGTAGCCTCATTCGTCACATTGTTAAGGTATTTTTTCTCTGAAAGATAAAAGTAGGCTTGTCAAATAACAGTATTTGCAGAAAGCACACGTGAAAAAGATTCACCTATTCATTCATTCCTTCTTTTTTTTTTTTAAATATTTTAAAGACTAAACAGTTTTGCCCATTTCTTGTCTTCCCTGATTCTAGTTTATAACTGTACTTCGTTTATTTGTTTTCTTTTATTCCACTCTACTGCAGCGCGAAACATTCAGGGTTACTTAATTGGAGGAGGAGTTTCCTTGGTATTTTTAGTATGTTTTACTCTCTTTATCTACAAGATCTTCAAAATTGATATTGTGCTTTGGTATCGGGACTCCTGCCATCCTTTCCTGGGTAAAAAAGGTATGTTTGTGTAACAATGCTGATTGTTGTATTGAGCTTCCATCTTCCTTTGCATAGCAGTGAGTTAACTTCATGGAGTGTGATTGGTCTTCCTTGGAAATTTTGAAAGGATAATATGTTTTTAAGATGTTTAGAATTAGTTCAGATAACAAAAGCACGATAAACAATGATTCGAGTGGGGCAAAAAGCCCCAGAGTTTAGAGATTTTTGTTTGTCCGTTTGTTTGCTTGCTTGCTTTCGTATCTTTAGAATTCATTTTTATTTGTCCTATTGCTCATTCCTTAGTTTCAGATGAGAAGATCTATGATGCTTATGTTCTGTATCCAAAGAACAGAGAGAACTGCTTGTACTCATCGGATATTTTTGCTCTGAAAATACTTCCAGAGGTCTTAGAAAGACAGTGTGGTTATAACCTCTTCATATTTGGGAGGGATGATTTACCAGGAGAAGGTAAGCTATCTGAAGACAAACTGGACTTGAGTTTTCCTGTTGACCTGCAAATACAATTGAGAAACAGGCAATCAGGTGGGATTCTAAATATCTCTCACCATCAGATGAACTATGATTCTCTTACTCACTTTGATGGAGAATGAGAGATGCAGCACCAGGTGCTTCCACAACCTCTCTTTATCTCAGCCTAGACATCTAGAGATGGAACAATGCTGAGGGGAAGAGGAGTTGAAATTTTGATTGTGAATGATGACTAATGGCAGGAAACATGGAAAAGTAGGTCTCATGAGCAGTGTGAAAAAAGCCTATTGCTTTGAGGTGCCATTTAAAAGGATGATGTCTATTGTTTCATTTTTATTTGCTCTAAGATTTGCTGTCAAACGAGCAGGATGCAATAAAGGATATAATGGATGCTTAGACAGTGCAGATGGAAAAAACCAAAACTACACCAAGTTACCAGGAACGATCAGCTCTATCAAAGACTATTTGTCCCTTGTAAAAGTTCTTAGAAAGCCTTCCCTTCCTTACAAGACTTAAAAATCCTTGTGGATTAAAAATCCTCATTGTGTATGTGTGCATCAAATTTAGTATCCGAGACTAAAAATTACAAAGCCTATCCCACTGTTTGCTTCCGTGAGGTGAAATGATTAAAGGCTTCTGAATCCTTCGGGTCTTATGACTTTAAAAAGATAATACTGAGACTGAATAAATTTGAAGAGTAGGCCAAAACCAGAAGTTTTTATTTAAAAAACAATTGTGTATGAACCTACTTACATGAGGTGGCCCGTGGATACTCTTTTTTTTTTTTTTTTTTTTTTTTTTTTTTTTTAAATATTTGAAGGATTTTGGTAGTGGTTTGAGGAGGAAGGGTTCCCTGAGAAGTAGAATTTAAAGTGCTGCTTAATTTTTCCAGCTTGAAAAAATGCAATAATCTGTTCTCAGGGTTGAGCCATATGGCTTTTGTGTGGTATTTACCGTATTTTACTGTTTGAGACTTAATTGACTGGCATGACATTGAAGGGAGGATTCTTTTCTTTCTCTTCTACTTACATCTAACAAAAGCAGATGAGCATATCAGAACAGGCTGTTTAAGGTAAAAGGTCCTGTGGTTCTGGAACTTGGTTTTTTGCATTTGTACCTATGATGGCAATAAAATGACATTAGCAAGATACGTAGTAGATAGTTGGCAGCTCTCCTTTGTTTATGCAAAACAGGAAAATAGACATGCAGTCTAATGGGGTCACATTGTTGCATTGGCCAAATCTCTAGGGTTGGCTAACCCAAGGTAACTGCTTGCATGCTCGTATCCTGTCCCTATTTGTGATGTAAAGTGTGTTGTCTTAAATATCAAACAATGAATGAGCCAGCTGCAAAATGTTGGTAACATAACGTAGAAACATACAATCTTATTTTTGCACAACCTTTTTTTTTTTTTTTTTTTTTTACAGCTGTGATCAGTGTTGCTGATGAAAAAATCCGTCAAAGTAGAAGAGTGATAATTGTTTTAGTACCAGAGCCCTCCTGTTATAGCATTCTAGAAGATGTGTCTGAAAAGCAGCTAGCCATGTATAATGCTCTTATCCAAGATGGCATTAAAGTAATTCTCATTGAACTTGAAAAAATACAAGATTATGCAATCATGCCGGAATCCATCAAATATATTAAGCAAAAGCATGGAGCTATCCGATGGAAAGGGGACTTCTCAGAAAGGTCTCACTCAGCAGGTACCAGATTCTGGAAGAAAGTGCGCTACCACATGCCATCCAGAAAAAGTGAATCTTTGTCAGGATTGCATTTGTTACCAAAAGACTTGAATTCACCTTAAATAACAAAAGGGAAATGACGCTTAATGACCGATTCAGTTCACATAGTTGGTGATGGACTGACTGAAAGTCACACTCATCTGTTTTGTGCAATCTTATCCAGATTTTCTTAAGTGAAGGTACTACAGCTTGGTATCTACAGATGTGAATCTTTTTTTCTTCTGGCTGGATCAACAGAACAACTTGAAATATCATCAGTAGCACATGTAGGAAGCACACGAGTACTTTTCCAAGAATTGCACTGTGATTTGGTGGAATTCTCATAGTGTTGAAAATAGAAGGCAAAGAAACTATCAAAAAATCCCCAGAAAACTTGTTTTTTTACAAGTCTGGATATGAAGAGAATTATATTAATTATAATCATGATATTATGAAATGGGCATGGTTGATGCCAGTAAATATTTGTTTCATTTTTTTTAATGACACAAAACTTTTCTTTGTTGCAAGTTTGTTATTTGCCTTGTTCGGTTTACTGAAAGATAAATTCCCCTGTGGTACTGCCTCAGTGTGCTATCATCCAAGAGAAAAGGTAAGAGACAATCCCAGCCCCAACAAAGTGCTGTTGAACCTGAAAAAGCATACTCTTCTCTGGTCTTTTTTACATTTTAAAGAACGGTGCCATTTTTAGTCACTTGTCGCATACAGACATCGGAAAAATACCTTTGTAATGCTTTTTTGAGTCAAAAAATTAATCTCCACTGGACTTTTTTTTTTTCCAATTTAGTGGCTTAATGTATTTTTTTACCCAAGTGGAACAATTGGCTAATGACACAAGAGCCTCTCATGGGGCTACAGGATGATTGACTTTGTCTGCCTTACCTTAAAGACCACATCAATGGGCTTCAGGGCTCCTATTTCTTGTGGGTTGCTGGTGCTGAAGGAGAGCAGATCTTTCCTCCTGTTCCTGGCCAGAGGGCTGGCTCTAGCATTTGTCAACTCTGAAAGCTGAAGCCGGCTGAACAGACTAATGTGGCAGAAATTGTCCTTTTCCTTGGGTTAATGTTCTCCCAGATTAGTGTGTTCCTGGCTCCCAAAGGGTTCGGAGTGCAGTCAGAGAAGAAGTGTGATGAGACCATGCTTTTCAGCTCCAGATATTCTTACAAAACAGAGCTAAAATAGCATTGCTGCTCAAGTACTCCTTGAAGTGAGAGAGAGAGAGAGAGAGAGAGAGAGAGAGAGAGAGAGAGAGAGAGAGAGAGAAAGAGAGAGAGAGAGAAATGCCCTGTGTTACCCCCTGCAGCTGCTTGCTTTTGTCCTTTCTCTCTGCCCTGATGATGTAAAGAATCAGTGGTGACTGTGTACTGGAGGCTGCAGTCACAGTTTTCCAAACAGCTGTTTGGGAAATGAAGTTGTTAAAACTCAGTGTGTATGTTGAATCCTTTATCTTCCATTTTAAAGGTTTTTTACAGTATTACGTATGCCACAGCTGTTAACTCTGAAGTCATGTTTGACTTGTGTGTAGGCAGTGACATAGTTTGCAATGTTCAGTTCTTTTTTCAGGGCAGGGAATTGACTTGATTGATTAAAAAAATTAATTATCAGACCTCTTTCATGCTATGTTTATAGCTATGAATTTTATAGAAACAGGAGATGAAAGCCGAACTGCCTATGCTTTTCAGTCTGTCCTTGAAAGTTACATTTTTAAGTGATGAAATCTTAGTGTATATGGAAGCCTCAGAATTTGACTGTTACTGCCTCTGACTGCTGCTTGCAACTCTGAATTCCTGTCTGTGTCCCTTGCAGCACTTTTTGCTCTCCTCCCATTTAAACTCCAACCTGTCTTTTCCCATGCTGTTCCCTTATCTTGAAACAAGCAACTTACTGTTATATCGAACTCCATCACTTTCCAAACTCTCCTTGAAGGTTGTTGCTAATACAGTATCAGGCAGAAATTTTTCCTTTGGTATCTCCACTTGTTCATCTGAAAAAAATCCATGTTCTGCATCCTTCAGCAGTCATCTATTCATTTGGATACTGCAGTATTGGCTTTTTCTTCTTTCACAGCTCAAGCATTTTTCTTATGCCTCCATCCTCAACCAAACAAAACTGATCCTTGTGTTCTGCCTGTTAAGTGACAAAACCAGTGGAAATGGATTCCTCTCCCACCTAAATTGCTTTGCTTGCCTCAGTGTATGCTGGAGACTTGAAACTCTGACTCTACAGACAGTACCTTCTGAGCTTTGCGTTGTGTATGTGTTTGGCCAGAACAGAATAAAAATCTCTTCATTTCAGGATAGGAGGGGAAAAAAGTGCGTTTGAAACATCAGACTATTTCAAACTGTCATGGTACTGAAGTGCCATGTCTGTATAGACCAGTGCAAAGGCTTATAGTCTCTTCTCATTCTTGTTTTAGTCATGAGAGAAGTGTCAAGGGAGAATCAGTCCTAGTCATGAAGTACCACATTCACTTAGCTGTTGCACACAGTCTGCTTTCAAATATTCTGTGTGTTCAGTGGCAGCCTGTTGTAGGGTAAAAGAGCCTTAAGGTCCATCTGAAGTTACTGAGAACCATCTGAGCAAGGCTGATTGTTATGGTTCACATCAATAGAAGAATTATACAGGACTGAAGCCATATGGTTTGGTCACAGAACTCTTCTGTAAGAAGATCCCTGTATCAAATGTGAAGACCAGACACTGGCAGTATGGTATTCGTGCTCTGAGGACTAGGGTGTAATACTGACATTGTGCTTCCACTTTGACAGCTCACGGTATGCAGTCCAGCCAATAGAGTTCCAGCAACCTCAGGCCTCCTGAATTACTTCTGCTGACTGGAATAGATTGAATGGAAAACTGCTACTTGTTATCCCTACCTTTAGGGATAGGAAAGTTATTTTACTGAGCCAAAATACTGGTTTTTAAAAAGTATTTGTTCCTTTTGATATACTTGCACAAATGATGCTAAAGTTTTCATGTGTGTTATGTAAAGGCACTTTGAAGAAAGGTGCATTTTTAAATTCAATAAAGGCACTACAAAGTTTTTCATACGGCAGTGTTGTTTTTTTCCCCCTCTCATTCCTCCACTGAAGCATGCTGAGAAAAACAGCAAGCAGCAGTTGGGACTCAAAGTGTCCTAACAAGACTGCTGCAGTAATCTTCATTCAGGCTGCTGAACCATTGGCTTTATCTGGTCGTGGCACAACATTAGCACTAACCACCTTGCCCTGTCTGGGCAAACAGGAGCTGTGAGCTTGGTTCTGTTATGTCCCGTGCTCTCCTTGCAGCAAGGTGAAGCTGGAGCAGCTCCAAGGTGCTGTGTCGCTCTCTGGGACCAGCATGGTTCCCAGCAGTGTCCCAGTGAGCAGTCTTCTGCTGCAGCTCCTCCAGAGCTGGGGGGAAATGCAGGAGACCTCAAATGGAGGAAATGTGTGAGAGGCACCCTTCTCTGCTTGACTCCTGGGGCAAGTGCTGACTCATCTGCTCGAGGAAAGCCACAGCCTTTGCAGTGGGGCTGTAGGGACTGGTCTGGCGTAAGACTGCACGTTGATTTCTTAGGGGCTAATGTGCTTACCATAGGGTGTAAAGCATCATTTCCAGTCCTAATAAGATAAAATGGTCTATTCTTTTTGTGCTCTGTTTTGAACTCCTTGAAAGCTGTTACTGGATACCTTCTTCTAGTACAAGTAATGCCAGCTCTGTTTACTTGCTCATTTAGTACTGGACTTGTTTTTTCATGCAAGATAGATAAGATAAGAAAGCCATTAGATAAGTTCTTCTGAAATGAATTTTTATATACCACCTCACAGTGGGGAGGTTGGGGTTTTTTTTGAGTCCAGGAACTTCTTTTAACTTCTGTCTAACCAGCGGCAGTAAGTAATTCTATGTTTGCATTGTCGTGTGAAATCTCCCAAATGAAGTGTTTTCAAGACCTCTATTGATAATGATTTTGCTTCTTTTCAGACCTAATCTGTATTATACATCTGTCTAACCCAGGCAAGGGTTCAGGCTGTAAATTAATGTGTGTTTGAAGGTCCTGTGCATTTGTTGCTTCACCTTATGTAAGAATCACTTCCATGCTGGCAGCAGCACGGCATAAATTCCTTTTAAACAGGAGCTGGTAGATGACTTGCTGTTCATTCCCCACCTCTTCCAAGATGCAGCACCTTTGAATAAGTCTGCCTACTTAGAGATTAAAAGATTGGGGTGGGAGGAATCAAGTCAAAGAAAACCACTGTTCCCTGGTAATTGCACTCAGCATGGTATACTGCAAGAGCTGAAGCCAGCCTGACCAGCAAATTTCCTGCCTGGACTAAAGGAACACTAGGAAAGTGGCCAGTGCTGTGACAAAGCCCTCCCATGTGAGCTTTTCAAGTCTTACACATTAGCTTAGTCCCATCCTCCTCAAAACCATTGCAAGCAAAATGGTTGCAATCCTTACTTTCCATTCAGTAAGGAGAATAAAGAAGATCTCCATGTGAGGTGAGTAAAGCTAATGTAATTCATGGATGTCTTCTGGGTAATGAACTCAAAGGGAAGCAAATTAACCAAACCCAAGCCTCTGGATGAAGCAAGAGACAGAAAGTGGGTTGGGGAAAAAAAAAGAAAGCCAGTGACTTCAGGAGGACACTAAAGCAGACATCCAGAGAATCAGTCTAATTTCTGCACATAAAATGAACTCAGGAATAAGATTTTAATGGAAGGTTATGATGCTTATGATGTGAAATTTGCAAGTTTTCTTTATTATTGTTTTGTGTGTGTTCTGTGTTTGGATGTTTGTCTTGCAAGAGCTTTAAAGAGACTGTTCAGCACCTACACACTTTTTTCTGTAGTTTTGTGCTTGCTCTTTTTTTGAAATTCTGGTTTCATTTTGTTCTAATGAAATGGAAACTTCCCGTTTCTAAAAATATGGAGATGATTTTAACAAGGCATTTTATAAGTCTTGTCTAGTATTTGCAGAGAACAGATGGTCTCTTCTTACTGGTGTTTTATAAATATCAGGGCCCCTAGGGCGGAAATAAACCTTAACTGCCCTCCTTAGGGCCCAAGAGTCCCACTTATCCCTGTGTTGTGTTTTTCAGCCTAGCTGGAACTAAAGCACTATGTAGTCACTTGCTCAACCCCCCTCTCTGTCCCCCCAACCCCACTGAAATTGGGAGGAGAATCGAAAGTAAAACTTGTAGTTTGAGGTAAGAACAATTTAATAATTGAAAACAAAGTAAAATACATTAATAATGGTAAATAATAATAATAATAAAGGAAAGAGGAAAAAAGCCAAACATCAACCCCTACCCCCCTTCTGGGTAACTTCCACACTTTCTTTATGTACTTGGCATGATGTTCTATGGTATGCAATATCCCTTTGGCCAGTTGGGGTCATCTGTCCTGGCTCAACTCCCTCCCAGTTTTCTTTTGTTAGCAAAACCCAAAACATCACTGTGTTTTGTACTGACATACTCTCATTCTGAATCAGAACTACACCACTGTACCAGCTACTGAGAAGAAATAGCTCTATCCCAGCAGAAACTAAGACACCCTGCTTCCTTCCTGGGGCCACTGGGATGGACCTGCCAGCCCTTGTGGTGTCCTGACAGACAGTGAAGTGTCTATCAGACAAATTTTAGCTTGACTTGGTGCAGAAGTAATGAGAAATGCCTGTGATGAGAAGGAGCTATCCAGAGCATATCCCTGTGAGAAGGTGTTATGGTTTGTTCTTGCAGGTGAAGACTAGGAAACCTGAGCAAGTATCACACAGAGGAGATGTCTCTTTCCCTCTCATTTTGTTACCAGATGCAAGAAAACAAAACAAACCGACCAAAATAAAACCCCAACCCAAAAAACCCAACAAAAGCAATTCTTCACAAAACTGAAATGGATATTGTGGTAGAAATTAAAGAATAGTATTTCAGTTCCCAATCACTGATGGGGCCTTCCGTTCTGATTTTGATGAGGTTAATTTTGCTGTGACTGGCATCTTGTCAGGGATGAGCATCTCTTAAAACCTAAAGAATTATGCTAACTCCATAGTCAGAGGTGTTTGAGCTAAGTTATAGTTCCAGCAAAGCTTTTTAAATGAAAGGTGATTATTTTTTTTCTTGGTAAGTTCTCTATTGTTCTCCTGCTTTTTGTAGAAAGCCAAGAAGAGATGGTGACTGTGCTATGAGCATTTAATTGCATACAGGAGGTTTGTGTCCCATTTTGTGAGTATGCATCTTCCTGGAGATGCCTTGGGAGCTGGAACTCTCTTAACCTCCAGTCTGTCATTTGATAGACATACATGGTAATCTTCAAATGAGTGCTATGGATGACTACCAGACTTATCCAAAACACCTCCCAATCATCAGCAGCCTTGAGAGAATAACCCTGATATGAAGAACATTGCTCTACTGATGCAGAGGACCCTAGGCTCTGACTGACAGACCAGTGGGGACAAGTAACCTGACTGGCTTGCCCTTGCCCCCTCCCAGCTCGAATCTCACACCAGCTCACACAGTTTGCACACTGCCTCCAGTGCAGTGCAAAGGGGAGTGCTGTGCTCCTCCACCTGCCTGCTCTGCTCAGTGGTTTTACTGCAGGATTCAGTTTTTCAGTGGATATGAGTGGTTTGTCCCAAGTTATACCTGATTGTGTTTTGATCCTTTTGTCTGAAGTTTCTTACATGATTAAAAAAACAATAAATAGTGAAGCCAGACAAATGAGAGAGGGGAGGACAGCAGCAGCGGTAATTACTTTTTTTTTATAAGATTGCTTGTTTTGTGTAGGTACATCAGACAGCAGAGAATTTGCTTTTGAATGCAATACTACTTCCCTAACATGGTGTACTGGTTTCATTAGAAGTTAATGATAAAATAGTATTTAGGAAAAGGATGAAATAATATAAATGTGACATACCAAAATGTTTACTCAATGGCTTGGTTTTTTTTTCATTACATGACAAGCTGTAAAAAAATATGTTTAAATGTCTTCATCATCATCATGGCTAGGCTTCGCGAACGGAGATTTGGGAAGGACTCTACCCACACCTGCTACAAGCACGCTGGTGGCTTAAAAAGGCCAGTGCGAGATAGACAAGTCTGGTTGCATTATTAGAATAAGAAACCCTTAATAAAAATACACAACTGAGCTTTATGCAGTGCAACACAAGTAACAGATGCAGGTCACTGTGTCCTCAGCTTTGTAGTTTCAGCTTCAAAAGCGAGCTTTCAATATACAAAAATTAGTTTGTGGACATTCCTGTATTGCCTCCTTTAACTCACTACACTTCCTGATTCAGGGGATACTGTTCATCATGTAGAGCAGACCTTTTTTTCATGGCTAGGCTTCGCGAATGAAGATTTGGGAAGGGCTCTACCCACGTTTGTTGCAAGCGCGCTGGTGGCTAAAAAGGCCAATATGAGACAGGCATGTCCAGTTGCAAAAGGCACAACAGAAAGACTCCTTAGGTGGTATATTCTGCAAGGCACGAATCTTTCTGTGTTGTCTTTTCTCCTCAAGGGTGATCCTGCGTGCTTTCTCAAAAGCATCAGCAGCGTTATAGACAGTGTGTCTCCAGACCTCCCGATTCGAGGCCAGAGTAGACCAGTTATGTTGATCAATATGGCCAAGGCTGAGATGTTGTTTCAGGGAGTCCTTGTATATTCTCTTTGGAGCTCCTCTCTTGCCGCAACCGGTGGCAAGTTTCCCATAAGGCAAGATCTTAGGGAGGCGGTGGTCCTTCATCCTTGAGACGTGCCCTGCCCATCGCAGCTGTGTTCTCAGCAACATGGCCTCAATACTTGTGACTGCTGCCTGTTCTAGAACAGATGTATTGGTCACATAATCTGACCAGTGGATGTTTAGGATTGTACGGAGGCAGCGTTGATGGAAGTGTTCTAGGAGACGCAGGTGGTGGCGGTAGATGACCCATGATTCAGATCCATATAAGAGAGTAGACAGCACTATGGCTCTGTAAACACAGATCTTTGTACTTTTCTTCAAGTGTTTATTCCATCATCCCCATATCACCATTGGCCAATCAGAGCTCAAAGCAGTCCAGCAGTTTAATTACCTA